AAAGCAACATGCATAATCTTAAACCAGTTACTAAAACTGTATTTCCCCGTGTAAACAAGGGCAGACAAGTCTCTTCCAATCTTGCATGTCAAAATTCAGCTGATTTTTGCAAAGGATAGTCTCCCCACAAGCCATCAAACAAACTTACAGCTGCTCTTAAGCATGACTGCATTCAAGGTACTTATTAGCAAAGACTTTCGATACCTCTTCAGGACTTCTGCCTGCACGAGAAAGTCCATTTCCATGGGCCTTCACGAGAGCTGCCTCTGGTCGAGTCAGAGTTTAATGTCCTGCGACTCTGACATTTTGGCAAGCGTTTTCTTGACCCGCAGGGCTGTGAGCCGGGAGGCGGGGTTGTGAGCCCAGCACTCCATCATCAGCTTCCCCATCTGCCGTAGGCACTGCCAAGAGAAACGGGAGAGAAAAATCCCACCTGAGTCAGTGGAAGAGGAGACTGTAGTTGGTAGCAGTGCTGAAAAACTGAAGAGAAAAGGTTTTTGTAAGGGCAGCCAAAAAAAAGAGGAGATCCTGGCTGGTATCACTTTTCAAGAGCTTTTGTTTTCTGTATATTAAGAAGACTTCTCCAAACATGGCAATTACACTTATAATTTATGACAAGTTATAGTCTAGGCTTGGTTGTACACTCCACCAAAGCACTTTTCTTATTTCCCCTTCCCCAAACCCGTGCAGCCGGACCCGCACAAGTGTGGCTCTGCACAACGAGCCCTTTGCTGTATAAATTCAGTGGAATTCGTTCTCCTCAGCCAGCGCCCGTCCCCCTGGAACAGCCCGGAGCGAGCAGGTACCCACAGCTCCTGCCCAGCCACCCCCACCAGAAAGCCGCCTGCGAGCACCCGCCTCGGCTCTGCCCTGTCCCGCTCCTTCCGAAACACAGCCAACCCTCCTCCAGCTCCCAGCAACAGCATTCTTGCTGACAGCATCTTGGCATTGCCTCTGCCATCCTGGCAAAGGAGCACACATCCCTGTTCTGTGTCTACCACCTTCTCCCATATAAGCCATCACAACCGAGTGATGACCCTGTCAGCCTACGGATTTACGTAGATTTGCTTGCTACAATAGGAAAACAGAAGTTTTCCATCTCATCCAACTTGCTCTCCATTTTCACGAGGCTCCTGGCCCAGCAGCAGAGCAGACCCTGACAGGCATTAAGCATGACCGCCACCAGCAGTACCCAGACCAGCCTAACACATTTCAGACTAACGTGGATTTTTAATAAATGTGTTTTGGTGATACGCATGGTTTTATGCACTAACAAGTTTGCCTCTCATCGCTAGAATGCCTGAAGTGGGATTACCGATGACGCTAACCAATTAATCGAGAACAGTTATTCCAACGAGCCTCCCCAGCCCTCAATACGTGCAGTCACAGACCAAACACACACCGTGTCCCACCACACAAAAGCCCTTCCCGGGATCTATACCAACGGCACTTCCTCCAGCGTCTCCACTCCCTGTCTGAAGGCTCAGCGGGATTTGGCTAGGGAGAGGATGAGGCAGGTGAGTCTCGGTTAGATCTTCCCACGCTGACTATTGCACAAGTCCTTGAGCCTCCCAAGGAGGCTGTTTTATTTTTCCCTCACATCCCCAAATTGCCTACATCTCATGACACCTAAATCTTTCATCTACCTGCAGAATATTCATCTACACATTGCTATTCCCAAATGGCAGCTGTCTTCTGCAACTGTAGAAAACTTTACAGCATTAAACTGTACCAATTAACATGATTAATGACCTCTCCTCCACAGCAGCTCGAGAGCAGTCGGCAGGTTTGCCTGCAGTACCTCAACTGTTCGTCTCCAATCCCACAAGCACCACTTCACTTCATTACAGATGCTTAGCAGGGAGAGTTCAGATTCTCCCCCACCCCTCTCACCTCCTCGTTTTATTCTGGACAGCATTTTGTGGATCCTATGTCTCCTCTGAAAGGCCACATCCGTAGGCCTCTTTGCAAAAATGTGAAGAGGTACAAGGACTGTTCTCTGTAAGATGTTACGGGGTGAACCATCTGTGCTCCTCGGTGCAGGACAGCTACTGTGGTCAGTACTATTGAGTATCAATACCGTAAGAGTGAAACTCAGTATCTTGTGCTCATGTTAGGGTAAAATCACAGTAAAATCATGTCTCCAAGCCCGCACACCTGTGATCACAGAAAAGTTGTATGCTCACTTCATTTCAAAGAGACAGGAGATAGTTCCTTCTTTAAAAAAAAAATAAGGAAAAAGGTTGGAATTACAGCCCAGACATCAGTACACGCTGAAGTAGCTGCTAGTACACCAAATATGCTGCCACCACACTATACACTACAAAATAATTTCTCTTTCAAAATTTTTGGCTAGCCACTGATTTAATGCTATTAATGCCAGGAGCAGAAAGCCAAATGAGTGCAAGAGGAAAACAGAGAGACTAAGAAGGTCTGAGCACAGTCTGCTATCGCTGTGGGATCTGGTAGACAGCACATGAGGAACTCGCTTGCAAATATCATAGGCGATGTCCCTTGGGGCTCTGAAACCTTCAGCAGGGATATCTGAGAAGGTCGTGCTCCTTCCCGAGCCCTGTTACACTGTGACTGGTGCCAGCACCAGTGGTAAAGCTCCTCCTCACTCAAAATGATACAGAAATGGGTCAACCTCACTCACTCGCTCTGATTAAAAACACAGGCTGCATTTTAAGAGGGACGATACCTCATCACTGCTCCATCTGTTGGGAAACGACGGGCGTAGTCTCTTGATGCACACAATCTCCCGCATGTCCTCGTACGAGGGGTCGCTGGGCACAAGGTCGTGGTACGGAAGCTGGTATTCCTCAACTATTCCTGAAAGAAGCAATTAGTTGCCCATCACTTGCAGAAGATACCTTCCACTACCCTCTTCCCCTCTCATTTTACAGCAGATTGGCCAGACTGTTTAACAATTAGATGTATTTCTCCTTAAAAGGACCTCCCTGCCCTAGAAGTTTATTCCACAGTCAAGTTCCAACGTAACCATTGCCGTGTAAAGACTGGCCAGGTATCTTAATCCAAAAACGTAGTTACTTGCCAAGTGAGACAGTTTCTACCACTGCCGTCCAGTCCAGCAATCTCCAGTAAGTTATGACAGAAAGAATTATTAGCGTAGGGCCCGTATCAGAGCAATCTGGTAGAGAATTAACCTTGAATTAGGTCTCCTTCTTATCACTGGACCTGGTAAAGGGCATTTCTGTGCCTTTTCAGAACACGGCAAGGTACCATTCTTTGCGCACAGTAACGCTGACAACAATATTACAGATTTTATATCGCATCATTGCAATACACTTTACCAGTTTGTAAACACAGGGATCACATTGCTCATCAGTGAAATTCAGCTTCTGTAGGGTAAGCATGGAGCGAGCATTCGGCACAATACCGCAAGCTTTAAAGACTCATAAAGTCTGCTGAAGGTAGCGTAGACTCGAGAGAGACATGCTCTACTCTTACTTGCCACCAATCTGGCACGTAACCGCTGCCAAGTCATTTCTCTGTATTTAACTTCCCTCAGTGGCAAAATAGAGGTAATAACACCCATCATTTCTGCACTACACTGAGCTCTATGTGCAGAAAGCACACATAGCCTACACATACAAGGACAGATCTACGCCCCGAGTCTGCAGCTGCCTGCATTGCTTTATCTTTGCTGTCCTCACACTTGAATGCCTGATATCAGAAGGAAATGAAGCACATCACTGGTATGACAACAATGTAATAAGTGCCACTTCCCTCTGTTTTTTTTTCCATTTGTCTTGCAAACAGATTATTTATTTTAAATAGTGGCACAGCGTATCCCCAAATTGTTTCTCCTCCTCCTTCTATTTAACTCTAACAAAACAAAGAAATCACTATTTTCTTTCTGCTAAAATAGCTGAATACCCCCAGTCCAGCAAAAATGTGTTGCCATTGGAAAAGGCCCCCAAATGAGTTCTGTACTCCTTCTTCAGTGCAGGCATCCACTGCCTTCAAACGAGCCATTAAAATACAGTCTAAATCTTTACTGTTGAAATAGCACTGACTGATGCTTTAAAATAAATTTCAACAAGAGAACAGATATTAAGAGAGCTACCGATATGCTTTATCCACATTTGTTTATTACAGTAAAAACCGTTACCCAGAGAAAAGGATGTAATGGAAGATGTGGGTTATAAATGGGGTTGATTGGCACAATTAAAAGCAATCTGCCAGCTCTTTACCTCCTGAAACACATCTCCTTGCTATCTCCCAAAGGATGAGTCCAAAGCTGTACATATCGGCCATGATGTACGACTGGAAGTGATTTCTATTCAAGCTTTCATCCAGCACCTCAGGAGGCATATAGCGTTTTGTTCCTACACGGGTATTTGGAGGTATGTCTACCTCGTTTGTATCGCTACAAGAAAAAGAAGGGGGGGGAAAAAAAGGCATCAAACATGCAATCAAGCAGCTTGGAAAGAAAGCAATTTAGATGGGAGAAGTAGTAAATTCACACCACATCCGCTCTCAAACAAGGTCAAAAGTAATGCATAATCCTAATGGAATAGTTCTTACAAGGAAAGCCTCTTGGTGTGAAGGCAACCCTCCTTAAAAGGCTGACCCGCCCGAGGCTACGTTAAGCATTCAAATGCAGGACCACAATGGAGATAAGACTCAACAGGGATGCTGTAACATTTGTGAGATTTCATTAGCATTAGCCTGAGCTCTAATGCTGGTGATAACAATCAGATCTTCATTAAATGCTGTTTTCTTAACATACTCCACCACCTAATGCTTTAGTCTTAGCAATTAATGGAGGCCACTAACTAGCTGGGGCAGTATCACTTAGCTATAGCAAATCAGATCTGCAAAGAAGATGAGCCCTTGCAGACTATTTTTTGTGCATGCATTACGTTTGATCTCTCCCAACCTTTACACATCAAGACGTGTAAACACAGAGACATAAACGTGTAAAAAAATCTAACCAAATGTGTCACACCTCACAGATTGACCAGAAGAGACAACATATATCTAACGGGAAGCAAATTCCCATTAATTATGAGACTGGATTTTTTTTTTTTCCCTTATTAACACAGATTCAGCTGTTACCAGTTTTAACATTTTTAGAAATTTAATATATGGCATATATTGTGGTTTGCTTAAAAAAGTCTGCTTCCCTTTCCCCGCCTTCAAAACATACATATTTTAAATGTGATGGATGCAACAAAATCTCCCAGAATAATTATACAACTTCTCCTGTAATTTTCTTCACCGACAGCAATTTTTTTACCTACTGTTATGAAAATGACAAAAAAAGCTGAGCCTGAGGTACAACCAGTCACCTACACAGTCATTAAATCATACATATGCTGGTGGCATTCAAAATACCTCCAAGAAGGTTACATAAATCTAGTGATCTGCACCGTCTTGCAATATTTCAAATAAAATGACAAATGCAGAGAACTTTACTAAACTCATTAGCTTCAGCAGAGCGCACCTCTTTCAACTACTTTTTTTCTGTTCCTGGTCATTGCCTGAGAAATGCTGTCTAAGGAAGGATTCAGCGTGAAAACAAGCCGAGCACGTAACGTGAATTCTATTTGGACTGTGACAAACGCATATTTCACCTTCTTTTATAGCAACACTTGGTAGTTTCTGGTTCTTCTCAGTTCATACCTTAGCAGTGTGCTGCTCTCTACTTGTCAGGCAAGGCATACCTGCAAAGGGTGAATTCCTTCCCTGACACTTTTACAGCAAACAGTGTATTTCCAAGTTGTTGTTTTCGAGGCCCCTGTTCCTCAAAGTAAAAATATTCCTTTCTCTTCTCCTAAAGAAAGGTCAGGTTCATAAAGGAAAAGTCTCACCAAGAAACCTGGTAGGTAAGTGAATGGTGAGAAGAGCACATAAAAACTGCCTTTCAGTTCAAGATTTGTACAGAATTCTTAAAATTTTTTTTGATACTTCAAGGAGTGCACAGTTTCAAAGCTGACCTCTGAAATGGAAACCTTCAGTCTATGGCCACATCTCTGTGCACAGAAAAATCGGAGGCTTCATAACACACATCTCCATCACCAGGACCACTGCCGAGAGCTCAAGCTCCTCTCGAACGGAGCTGTCAGACAGCGATGACTCCCTTATGAATCCCAGGAGTGAGTAAGCCCCACTTGTCTGCTCTAAGTTGTTTAAACGCACAACCATTTCTTTTTTTTAAATCAAATTTAAAAGCCATTTCAAAAATCAAATCTGTACTTTGGCAATTTGATTTGTAAGAAATTAAACAAAAGGCAGCCGAAATGGGGTGCTTTTCAATAAATCCCAATTAGTAACTTGTGCAAATGATTGGTATTATTCTATACAAGTTGTGAGTGAATTATCTGGGAATCAGACAAGCTGAAAGCTTCACTGACAAGTCTACTGACATGACTTCAACCCATCAGCGCTACATCCTTTTAGTGTGTGGCAGCAATACTCAGCTTGCCATTGAGGGCAAAGTGATGAAAACGGAACCTTTATGCAAATGCAACTAACGTGCTCAATGACTAAAAAGCAACTATTTATATACCTGCATTATGTGTTTACGTGACATTCTGACCCACACACACCCCCCCCGGTAGCCCCACCTCACACACAGATGAGCAAAGCCTCAAAGCTGTGCACACACACCGCACATGCTTACTCACGCATGCTCGCTCAGTCAACAACTAAACCAGCATTTGCATCTGATTTACCAACTTTTTCTCGCCCTCCTCACTTCTACTCACCTGATAAATTTAACAGCCAAGCCCAAATCTGCTATACAGCAGGTGCCGTTCTTTTTCACCAGGATATTCTTACTTTTTAGGTCACGGTGGGCAATAGCGGGTTTGCCTTGAGTACTGAAGATCTCCGTGTGCAGGTGGCACAAGCCACTAACAGAGGAGTAAGCCAGTTTTAGCATGGCTTTTGTGTCCAAGGTAGTGGATTTTAGATAATCATAAAGTGAACCGTTTTCATGGTAGTCAGTGATGAGATACAGCTGGGTCCAAGATCCTGTACCTTTAATGTCTGCAGCAATGAATCCTGGGGAAAAAAAAAAAAGATGATTTGCAAATTAATACTACTCGGGACTTTTTTTGACAGGTCAGAACTCTGGACTGTCAGCCACTTCAATAGTTTTATTTTAATAACATATCTAATTTCTTTCATCTTACTTCCATGCAACTATGCCTCACCTTTGGCCTTTAACATGTTTTCAGAAAGCCCAGGTATGGAAATACAGGTGGCACAAACAGACATGTGGTTCTTGGAGTAATAACCTCCAAACCCCATTATTTTTTAACTTTTATTTATGTTTCAGTAATCCTTGACATATCTTTCTTCTGAAAAGTGCGGCGTGGCTAATTGCAGAGCACAGCGGGTAACAAAGCACACAGGAAAGGGCATCAGACAACAGCAAATACAAAATTATCACATCCTTAAGAAACCTGTACACTATCAAATAATTCTCTGTAATTTCACTCACCAAGAATATTTTCATGTCTCATCAGGACAGTCTGGTAGATTTCTGTTTCTCTGAACCAGCTGGCCTCCTCCGTGGTAAAAAACACTTTCACGGCTACCTTTTCGCCACGCCACTTTCCCATCCAGACTTCTCCATAGCGACCTTTTCCAATCTGCTTTACCATCTGAATCTGTTTTGCAATGGTCCTTTGAACCTGTGAAATGCCAAGACGGGCGGTTACAACTCGATCCACAGAAACCTTCTGTGTTCACCTCCCTCCTCCTGTGTCTCCTTCCCGCGCAGCAAGCCAGCTGGAGAGGGGAATACGCAGCCATTGCGACGTGGATTTCAGCAAAGTTCCGCACTGCGGATGCTCCCCATTTCCCCCCCAGACACACGTTCCCTGCCCAGGCCATTCCTGCCACTGTGAAGAAGCCTTTCCATACATTCCCAAAACGCTACGTGGACTCTCAAGAAAGTTGACTGGTCTGCGTGAAAAAAACATTTGACTACGAACCTTGACATTTTTATTTTCCTGTGGTAGATAGCCACTTCGTGGAAATCTCTTTTCTTATTTTTGGAAAAGCTTTGACAGAAAATACTCCTGGCCACACCAACCCAACCCAAATTCCAAAGGGGTAGCTAACGCATTTCTAATTAAAACAGGGATGTTTGTTACATACTCAACACTGTTGAGACTCAAGGCTAGGGCTCACAAGAGCCAAAAGCATATCAGCACTCTAAAACAAGCAAAATCACTGAAAGCCCTCTTGAAAATCCCATGCCTCATAATTTCAAGATACAAATTTGGTGTTAGGAACCTCAACCACTACTTACAGTTAGAACCCACGTGCTTATATTGATATTAGTAATCATAGTTACACAGCAATAAAAAGAATTTTTTTCCAATAATATGGAAGCATGGCTTTAAATCTGCCCTTTCTAGTGTCCATACCAGCTTTGTCCGCGGCTGTACTGTGAACTGATGCTAAAGTCAAACCATTTCCACAGCTGTAGCATAAGATCAACATACTCGGCAGCATGGCAGAGATATAAGGATGGCAGACCCCACAAAGCAGATTGACTGATTCTACATTTAACGAGCTTTTACGACTACAAAAATCTTGGACAAATAGACACTAACATATTCTCATAGGACTGGAGCATGTCCGCAAATCACGCATTTCTAGAAGTTCGCAAACAAAAACTGAAGTAGATGCTGCAACACAACTCGCTGGTGTTCACGGTTGAGTTGGGTTCACCCTAGTATAAGAGGCGATTAAAATGTCGTCCTCCTGCGCTTCAGTACCTCCAGTTCAATCAGCAGCTTACGGGAAGATTTTACAAAGTTTTGAAAGAAAATAACTTTATAGCCTCCAATGCAAGGAGTTTTTTATCTGGCCCAAGAAATTGGCAAAATCCGGACAAGTGCAAATTCGAGGTCTCTCGGTTTTGCCACCACCCGTATACAAATTTAAAGCAGTTTATTGCAGCAAGTGTGCACTATCTGAATCCCTATGAAATCATATGCATTTCATGTAATCCCAAATATTTTGCAATCTTGACTGACAGAAATGATCAAAATTTGATTTTAAAATCATTTGCTTCCTTTGTTATCCCTGAGAGGTCCAGTGGAAACTACCAGTTTGGTAAAGCAGAGCAGGACTGCCACAACCCCACTGCAGCATGAACATATGTCTAAAGACAAACTCAAAACCTACCAGGTAAGGTCTATTATTATTTTTTTTTAATTATATTTATTATTATTTATAAAGTACTGGTTTTCATATTAGACAATTTAAAGAAGAAAGACATACAGTGGCATTTATGCAAAGCTACTTCAAAAGTCCCAGATTTCTTCTTCTGTCATTTAAACAGAATTCCATTTTTTCAGCCCTGAATTGTATTATTAGACTTCCAAGATGGTGGCTTCAGTGCCATTATTTTTGATTAATATCAGAGACAGCCAACAACAGACATTAGCCTTAATTTTTTAAATTTATTTTTTCTCTTTTATACTCTCATATAGTGATTGAACAATAGTTGCATTACATTGGAATTTTGCTGTAACATTTTGTAATGTCATTTTAGCATTGTTGCTTTCTATTTTGCCCATTTTAAAAATGCATCCTGAACAATAATACAGTTATATCAAATAACTTAATTTGTGTAAACATATGTAATGGCATCATAAAGTACATGGAATTATAATACTTAATGATGAAAAGTTCCTTATTAAATCTCATTAAGAAAATGAAAAACACATTTCTGTTATAGGTTTTCAGGTGGCAGAATACTATGTGAAGGGCCTTAACCTGGTTTCCTCTTGCTAGAACTGGTCAAACGATTTCCTATGAACAATTTATTTTATTTTAAGGAATTTAGCCTGTTATTGAACTATAAACTGATTACGATTTCTAAAACAAATCAGTTAATCAAAATTGTTGGATGAACTGATTTCATAAGCATGCTGAATGATGTGTTCATGTGAATTATTTATACCAAGTGGGGTTGGGTTTTTTTAATTTCTTTTCAAATCTGTATATTTTGCTGCTTAAGCTCTGTGAGCAGCCAGGTGAGGTTACACGGCCCTTTGTTTCCTTGCCCTGACTGGAATCAATTCAATTACCAACTATTTCTACTTTCTGCATTCTATTTTTCTGATGTTCAGCTACTACAGATGAAAATTCAGACTAACGAACATTTTGTAACTTCAGTATTTTGAACAGAGAACTTCATACCTATGGCTGGGATGCAGACCCTTGAAAAGCAAAATTCATTGGAAACGGAATTAGGAAAAAAAAACACGTGAAAAGCGAAGAGACCAAACTGTAACTCAGCAAATTCTTCATACAGACCACTGAAATAAACGTCCTCAGCATCTAATCTCCTTTCCCGATTTTGCATGTGGATTCACAGGGACAACAGCTTCGCCTACACTTCCTGCTCTGCCAAGGTCAATGGCTTTCTCCTTGCTTGCACAGACTTGATTATGCGCTCCAGTTTGTTGGCTCAAAGCCTTGATTTACACCTTACTGCATTTTTTTTTTCTCAGTTTAAAATTTGATTGACAGCAGTTGACCAGCAGCAAACTTTTCTGTCAGAGGTACGACCAGGTCAGTAGAAAGGACGCTTGCTGAATGTCAAAGTATCGATAAAATCTTGGTTAATGCTTGGTTTTGGTATAATATTTGTACCCATTAGAATAAATGTTCTGCACAGAAGGAAAACGTTACTGTTTAGCATAAAGTGACATTTTGTAATAAATTTGCAGCTTACTTTCCTGAAATAATAGTAACTTTCAATGTTTCAGTCTTTGCATAAGAAGTAATACAGTTAAAAATAAACTCTTCCACAATAAAGTCTAGCGCATTATTGTCAGGCACTTTCTATACACTTCTTTCAGGCATGGGCCCAGAGGTATTAATCTGGGCATTTCTAGCGAGCCTGTTAGTGGTTGTAGCTCTCTGGGAAATGCCGCAAACATCTATTACCAAGTGCAAGATTCATTTTAGCTCTTGTTTTTCTTCTCTTCCACAGAAAATCACTACTTGAAGGGAAAGTCTAGGGAAAAAAATGTATGCGTTTTTGTAGGCAAAGGGAGAGGGGAGAAGATTGCCTTCAGGAAGAACACTTGGTCCAGTGGCTGCAAAGTCTCTAGGCTTGAGAGAGGAGGATGGCAGAAGACAGGATGGTTTCTGCTTCATGGAGCACCGGCACAGCCCTGAGAGCTACTGAGCAAGGACCCAGTTGGGATGGCACCTCAGCCATGACAGCAGTTAATTAGCAGAAGTCAGTTTTTCTCTCCACTGCAAGAGTAGACCTGGGGACACCAGTAAGACCATAGACCCCATCTTCAACCAGCTCACTGGCACAGAGGAAGGTTTAAGCAGTCACAACCAGTGTTGCTCCAGCATTTTTGTCTCAAGGGCATCCTAGGATGAAATATCGAGCCACGCACAGCTGCCAGATGCCCCAGGGCACCTGCTACCCATGTGGGCTGCTGGAAACACATCCTCGCAGAGGAAGAACAACCAGGTTCCTTGCGTTTGCTCTGAATTATTATATTATTTCTGTCACTGTAATAAGTAGGAGCACCAAGCGCAGACTAACACCTTGGTGTGGCATGTGTTATGCAAAAAAAACAAAGCAGAAAAAGCAAGAATGCCTCACAGTTAAATCAATTGGAAGCACTCATTAGGAATGGTCCTAATTTGTAAGCATGATCCCTCCCTTTCAGTGGCTGCTAGAAGGCATGGGATGTGACAGAACTTTCTTAAAGCCTAGACCTCAATGATGGAGTTCCGCTCATCAGAGCAAAATGACCGTGGGTTTTCCGTGCTCAGTACCAGTCACAGCACCCACTTGGCAGCTTGGCCTTTTTTTTTTCTCAATAGCTATGTTAATTGTCAGAAAATTGGATTTTTAAAAAAGTCAGCACTTTATTTAAACAGGACTCTAAGCGCTTTCTCCTGCCAGAACAAATTGAGTTTAGTCAGATTTTCGCCAACCACTCAGCCTGTTACTTCATTTTAAGGAATTATAAAACTTCCCATTTTATTTCTTCTTTAGGGTGTAGAAAAAGGTGTGTGGGCAAACACCAGATAAATAGTATGTAGTACTTGGAAACTGGACAACATCTACAGTAATAGGATCACTACAAAATAATAGGTTTGGGAGACAGGAGGGACATATCTTCTCTGAAAAATGAAAATGAAATCTACTTCAATTTCTCAGAGGCATGATTTTAAATAAGTAACCTGGCTTTTTTTTTCAGTGCTAAAAAGCAACGATGACCCCCAGAAACAAAAACCTCTGGTGAAGAGAACTGTTTTGCCACAGAAGGTGAAACTTCTGCCTTTTTAGCAGGTGAGCTCAGGGGGCTCAGTCGTGCTGGAGTCAGTTCAGAAATAATCACAAACTCCATCCCTGTGCCTTTCACCTTTGAGATTGCCATACCACAAGGAAAAATAATTCGCTCTTGACTTCTGAATGCAAAGTGAAGTCTACACATAAAAAGGTTCCAAGTTTGATGAATTACAGTTCCCTTTATATAAAGAAAATGTGTCAGTGTTTGAAATGCTATTGTGTGTTGCACATAAAAAGCAAGAAAATAAGATCAGCGGGCCAGTTGCTGTCCTGTACGCTTGGGTAAATCCTGATGAATTTCTGTGAGCTCTGTTAGCCTGTACTTACCCTATGAGATCTAAAATAAGAAATGAGGTGAGGTAAAAAAAATACCTAAATTTTTTTAGCTTAGTCTACATGAAAAAAAGTCTCCTGCTTCTAAACCAGCTGTTCTCCAGCTGAAATCCTTCTCATTTCTGGGAGAAAAAAAACCCCAAAACTGAAACACAACTGAGGACACCCAAATATAATTTCTTGTGCCTCATTTTGTCTTCTCCCTGTATGCATTTTTGCGTTTTAAACTTGCATTAAAATAATATTGCTTCCTTACCAGGAGAGGGAGCCCGGAGCCGCTCCCTGAGCTCTGGGACTGCTCGATCAAATCCTTCAGGGACTCTCCAGGGGGAATGTAGGTCTCATCCTGCTCCAGCCCGATGCTGTAGTGGGGCCTCGTCTCCTGGCGTTTGTATCTGCCGTTTTACAGGAAAGTGAAATTAGCTTGGAATACAATGAACACACGTGCAAGGAATCATGCACATCGTCCTTCACGTTTGCTTCATTTATAGACTCGCAGCCTCTTCAGCTTCCCTGAGCAATATGCTGGAGTCCCTGCCCAAAATTATCTATTTTATTTTTAGCGACTGTTTTCACATCAAAATTCTTAAGTATAAAATGCAAAGACCATACAATCTGGTGTAAGTTTGCAAAGCAACCAAATGTTTTTCTTTCAGAAACTTAAATATGTTTGAAACACAGACCAAGTAAACACCCAGTTCTATTTTACTGACTGCAGTGGATCTTTCAGGAGCCAGAGGAGCTAAGGTCATGGGATCTGGGACTATTTAAAAAACGTGACAAATTATTTAAACATAACCCACGTAGATTATGATAACATTCTAGACATATTTACTTACATTCCTGTATTCTTCTCTTTTTTATGATCAGTTCTTCACCACATAAACACATTCAGGAGCCTTAGGTTTATTTATCCTGTATAAAGTTTGTCCTGTGGCTTTCTTATACCCAGTAAAGAATAATCTGTGTGTTTCTACCTGAATGATTTTTTAGGATGTTGGGCAAAAGATGCTATATGAAATACGTCACAACATATACCTGTAACTAGCATGAATAAAATACACTCCTCATCATAAAGTTACAGTTTCTCATTTCTTTTTACTTAAGGTCCATGTCAATTTTTTCAAATTCCGAAGTCTATAAAAAGATAAATGTTGGGAGGAACATTAACAAGCTAGTGAAGTATTCCCCTTATTTACCTGAAGTAGCAGAATATGATGATAAGCACCAGAAGTATACTGCACACAGTCACCGAGATCAGCAGCGCCTTGTGGTGAATGTTTCCTTCAGCAAAGTCTGGGGTTAAAAAGAAGGAAGGTGGAAAATTTGGAGAGGGAGGTGGTACAAAGTCAATATTAAAAGACACACACACCTTAAAGAGTGCAGCAAGCACAAGATTGTTTCCTTTCTTTTCTACTGAAGTCTTATGCCAGATACTCCTGAATTCCCCAGGCATTTTGTGCGCTTCCTCTTTGACCCTCACTGACCAGAGCAGAACCAGCATCTCCAAAAACCTATTTGATTTTTCAGCCCTCACTCGGGCAAAACATCGCCTTGACTTGCAATTCCCTGTTCGGCTCTGAATGAAAAATCAATTAAGACCCGTGGCTCTGTGTCTTAACCTAAGTGATCGGCCAGGACATACAAAAATTACTGCCTCTATCTTAAATCACTCTTATTAAGTAGTATCCTATCGAGCAGTTAATATAAAAAAACCAGAATGATTGCGTTTATCCTAGGAGGAAAGACACAGCGGACCATCCAACCTTCATGAAGGCAGGCCACAAGAGACCTTGAAAGTATATATCCATCACTGCAGACTAAACCATCTCTCGGACCCTGTTTTAAACACCTGATCAGGAATTTTCTCCTCCGTTCACTCTACAGCAGCCCCGTGTGCCAGCAAGTCCTTCCTATCCTGGCAGGCAAAACTCTCCTTCCAGCTGCTATTCTGTAAAACACTTTGGAAATGAAATGTGTCAAATAACTTGTAGAAAATGCTATTACATAGAAACTACTAAAATGTTTCAGTCAGTCTTTGCATGGGAGACTCATATTCTCCTTTAAAGTATACCGTTAATCTCCAAATTCGTATTCTCAACTCAGGCAAGCGAGTCTGACCTTCATGCGTGCTCCTCTGCTGACAAACAAACAAACCTAGCATTACTCTTCTTTAACCTCCCCTGCCCCCCAAACTCTCAAAATTAGGGTATTTCAGCACGCAGATACACACATCGCCCTCCCAAAGCTATATGGTATAACGCAAACGAGGATTGTGTTTTCTGAAGCTCCTCCAGCCTCGCTGCCTTGCATCTTTCACGCTAATGCCCAACAATCGTAAAATGCAAGAAATCTATCCCTATCGACTCAACCTGGAACGGCACTATTACGTTTCGGATTTACAAGGGTAATGAGACAAGGAGATTCCTAAGGGACTCTTGGTTTACTGTCAGTCTCTTTTATTTTGAAGATCCAGTTTCTCCTTCTGTTTTTGCCCCCAAACTATTTCTTTCCTTCCCCTTTCCACTACAAACAGAGACTACCTACCAACGCACCTTTTGATCAACGCTGGTCATGTTTTAACCTGCCATTACCTGCTCTGGGAGCATTAACAATGTAAACATTCAAGACACGGCCGATGCTTTTGAAAGGGGACACTGACATGATGTCCATCAGGAAAACACTGGAGCCCATATCATTCTCCCTGCCCCAGCAGATTCCTACCTGGCCTGCCACTCCAAGTGGGCTGCGAGCCGAAACCGAGAGCCCACCGGGGAATGCAAGACCTCTCTCGCGAAGGCGACGGCTACTCGGCAGGGCTAAGGGCTCTTGTTCATGCTTTGTAAGCAGCCTGTGTCGGCCAGCCATTTCCCTCTAAAATGTGTGGTTTGTAACAGTTTAAGATGTCGCAGCTCATCAGCTGATGAGATGATAAAAAAAGCATGCTGACCATATCGTGGGATTTTATACTTGGGAGAAACCTGGATATCTGTCCACAGCAAGGGTTTTCCCGCTTCACAGAATAAGCCACGATGGAAGTTGGGCTTTTGTGCTTTGCAGTAATGAAGGCTGATGTCAGATGCAGAGGGAGCAATTCAGGTCTTCCTCGTGCTTGCGTATGCTAGACCTTAAAGCCACAAAGCCTGTGCATTTACACAGACACAAAGTGTGGCTCTCCCAGAACTTGTAAAGCACCCATACTGTCCATGCTGCCTGTGTGTGTCCGAGTACGTACATCTGGGATAGGGATGATAAAGATGTTGAAATCTTGAGTCAAATTCTGATCATTTTTAGGGTTCAAATGATCCAAGCCCTGTGCTCAATATTTCTAATGGGCTTCTCCCATTCAAAAAAGTAAATAAACACAGTTTGATTTTCCCACAGGCCAGAAGGCATTTTGGAACGGTCGTGTAGCTCTCAAACAAACTTCAGACTGCTCCAACACTGCAAAATTTTTTGGTACCCGAATGCAATTACGTGAAGCAAGTGCAAGGAAAGCATACAAGACATAAAGGAACGCGTCTTGGTCTCCGTGCTGGGAGCGGCTGACGCAGACTGCAGCAGCAGCGATGCTTACGTTCTTGCAGCAGGTGATGGCCCCAGGCTGGCAGGGTCAGCTAACGGAGCTTTGGTAGTGATGCACTATGCACAGCACGGGCATGCAACTGGCTCTCACAGGAGAGGAGAATAACTTCCATATGTCTTTATATTTATTTGGCTATGTATGATGAGAGGCAATACTGACGATAAGTGAGCTGTTGTCTCAGCTTTCAGATACTTCCTGGATTTTCAAAGCTTTTTGGCAGAATTTCATTTGCTTGCTCAGTTGAGGACTTCATAAACCCATTGGCGCATGGACAACTGAAGGTTAAAAGCATGCCCCCATTCTTACACCAGCAAAGTCTGTTTGTTCTGCTGAACTGAGCCAGGCTGGTGCTGCTGGAGACCAACTCTTCCCTCCTGCTACAGCCCATGTAGTTCCCCACAGAGCAGCAGGACAACTCTCCCTTTCCCTGCACCATTTCTGGCACCTCCCTGACCAGGCAGAGGGATGGGGCAGCTCAGCTGTGAGACGGCTTAATCACTGCCTCGTGGGCTCTGTGATGAAGACTGCGGTGGGTACCAGTTTGCGTGATGGAGATACTCTGTCCTCTAGGAAGTCCAGTGCTGTGCTTTTTAGTGTTAAGTGTTATGTTACTTGGCAACTGCAACGTGCCAAGCAGCAGGGTGATGAGAATAAGCAGTAGCTTCCAGAGAGGCAGCAAGGAGTGATCACCAGGAGCACGGTGAGGGGAGCGCAAAACAAACACGCTGTAGGTTTGGGAAGCTTCTTCACATACCTCGGGGCTGGCTGATCACAGCGAAGCCCAGCAAAGAGCATGTCAACAGTTTTATGTTGTACGACAACAGTGGTGCGTCCTGGTGTCAGTGCTGAGCAGCATAGCAAGGGAGAGATGGCAACAAAATGAGGGTCTTTGGTGATATCAAGCTGCCTCTCGGTTATTTCCCCATGATGTCCCCCTCCTCCACCACTCGTTCCCCTCCCTCTGCCATCCGCAGGACGGTGCTGAGGAGTGCACTGAAAATGCCACCCAGCAGGTTCAAGGGAGAAGTCAGCATATCAAAGGGAGAGGAGGTTCTCCTCCCTCCCCAGGTCCCTCCAGTTCACAATGTTACGGTTATCCAAGTAAAAACTGCAGTGAAATCTGAGGCGTGGAGACTGTGCACACACATCAAACCCCATCGTTCCTCCAGTCATTCCCTTGCCCATTCATCACTAGCTCCACAGGCAGGGAGCCAGACACGGTGGCACCACCACTTCTGCTTATATAGGCTCTAAATCAGTAAAGACATATTTCTCCTTTCAACTGGGCTCAGCCTGTGCTTTTGCTGCGATTTCCAGGAATATCTTTTATTGTTTAAAGCAGAGGTGTTGTATCAGACCCAATTATGACTCTCATTTCCTTATTAAGACAGATGTACAGCTGGGACGAGGACTTTGTGGTTTCTCTGGGGTATTTTATCCTGCTAGTTCTGTACTGGGATGAGCTCAAAAGCTAGGCTTAGCTGTTGTTTCTTCCATCTTCCATAACAAGCCTTGCTTTGACCAGCATTAATTCTCCTAGCTCAGCTCCCACTTTCATGTATGTGGTCCTTTCTTGTCATGGGGGGCAGGGGCAGGTAAAACCCAACTTTCCAGCCCATGCCAGGTCTGGAAAAGCACTTTCAGAACACAAGTCACATGCCTTTATAGATGTTACCTTGGTGCATAGGTTAATTTGCAGTTCAGCAACCTCTGACCTGCAGCTGGACACTCTCCCTAGCCTCTGTTTCCCATGAGATATGACCTCGGATGTAAGTTCATCAGGAGCAAAATTTCTGTTTGTTTTTAAAATGCTGAGGAACATACATATTTTTCATGGAATCCTGGAGGTCAGAAGGTTGTTCCTAGAAGCTTGTTTGAAAGTTCATCTTCTCTTTCTTTGTACTTACAGTTTATGTTAGATTTGATACACAATTCTAACAGTACTCAGTCAATCACAGCCTAACCTAAACGCTTCCAATAGAAACAACGATCACAGCCATAGTACTGGGCACTGCCAGTAGCTGTATACACTGCCAGTATTTGTACCTGGTTGCATTGAGGATCTACAGTTCAAACAATGGCTTTTCTCTGAGCTTTCATACTAGGATACGGCAATGACAAATTAAAACAGGCCTGGCACCAAGAATGACATATTTACTTCTGGTTTTAATAAAGGTGCTGATCTCAGCCCAGTCCAGCCACATTTAACGAAGCAGCTCCTGAAATGCATTTGCACAACATACCATCAGGCTACCGGTAGTGTGAGAGCTTATTTTAAACAAAAGTCTTCAGAATATGCTGAGTGAATACATTGCCTTTTGTTTGTCATGCTAAAACAGACAACTTTGCAACACAGAGTAGCCAGAATTTCCTGTTCCAACTCTATGAAATTTTTCTTTCAACAAATATTTTCTCTGCTGTTTAATGGGTCTGCCACCACGGTGCCCAAGTGATGCTTTATTTATCCATATACACACAGAGCAAACCCAACATGGATCCAAACAACTTCTGCCACTACATAAAGCTTGTTTTATTGCTTTCTGTATAAGCAGCAGATAGTATTGCCAAATAACTAAAATCTTAATGAGGCAGATGTCTAGTGCTAGGCATTGGTTCAGTATTTTTAAGTAGTTTTAACATAGAATAAACTCAGTCAGCAGCAAGAAGAAATCACGGCAGTGTTTTCCAAACTGAAATGGTATTTATTGATATACTAAGTAAGTGTGAACAAATATTGACTTCTTTTTGGAGCTTCTCTCTCAGTCCAAAGAATTTTTTAAAATGAAAACAACAACAAAGTAGTACATAACTCTTATGTTGGAAGTCAGAATTTTATGAGTTTTCGCTGATTTAATGGCTTGCTAGTAAACAGTGAAATATTTACATACTACTCTCCATAGGCCTGATTCTGCAGCCCATCTGTGCAGAATTTCATAGGTGTGAAGGGAACAGCTTACATGAGTGAAGGCTTTCTCTGAGCATGCATTTGTGTAAGTATCTGCTGTTTGCATAATTAACACTGCATCTGCACACTGATCGGGATTTTCAACTCAGAATGCCACGATTACAAATTCTCCTGCAACCTTGAACTGACTCTCGCAGACTAAACTCCATGCTGACCACCACAAATCTTGGCTGTTGCTGCCAATACCAAAGAGTTTATCATCGATGTATTTACACTTACTTAGGAATACATTTCTATAAAATGTATTCTGCAACATCCATTCAAAATCATTTTACTAATTTTCAGAAAGTGATGTTTAAACAAACAAACAAACAAGCTAAAACCTTGCACCAGAGTCTGCTAAGTTAATACGTGTCCATTTGTTCTCAAATAACAAATAAAAAATAAAAAAAAAACAGTGCAAGAATTCTTACTCTACATTCTATTTTCAGCTACATTTTTCAAGTACAAAATCCACTTTAGTGACTAGTTATTATCCTAGTGCTGGATTATCAGGTCTTTTAAATAAGAAAAGCTTCGGCCAACTTGAACTAACTGATTAACCACTGGAGACCTGGTCACAGATGTGCGTGGAGTTACAAACAACAGTAATGCATGTTGCGGGGACTAGAAAGAGGAATTAATTTTATTATCAGGCTAAAAACATACTCAGCAAGACGCATCCTCTTCCATGACTAACATAAGTCTTTGGGATGATCACTGATAGCCAGCAGGTCTGTGCTAGGACAACACTGTGTGACTCAAATGCATCTGGTGCTCACTGCATGTATGCAACAGGAATAACAGCAAATACCAGCAACCACAGGTCAAGGCACTGCTCCCCACATGACCTATAGGAATTCCGCGATACTGTTTAACGCAATTTATCTCTCTAATAACGTGCAGTTGGAGGGGGGTGCTTTGGTTTTGGCTTTGTTTCTTCCTAAGGCACAAAGAGCAACAGCAGAAAAAGATCAGCTGGGACTGGATTTACTTCCCCTTACCTCGATTTTTCAGCGGTGGCAGCGTAGGGTGAAGATGTTTGTTACAGTAATCTTGGCCTGTGCAACATTCAATAGATCTTCTTTGGTGTGGAATAGGAGTATCCTGCAACAAGCAATTTGATAAAAAGCAAAGTAATTATGTGTGTTGTAAATATACACCTTGATTCTGGTACTTGAGAGAAAGATGTGCTTGTTAGCTGGACGGCAGTCTGTTACAGATTTCTAGGATGTGTGGAGTAAGGATTTCTGCCACCGAGCGTACCCAGCAACATTTCACCTAGATAATTAAGGGATGAATTTACCCCTAACGTATTTCTACTGGTGCACTACTGCTGCAGAAGGGACTGATTGACTTTAATGGTGCCGGACAGAACAGTGAAAGTCCATCAGTTAGACTTACGTTACAAAAATAAGTTCCCGTGGGTATTCAAAACAGTTTAGCCAGACTGATACAGGAATTGCTGTGTGAACTAATTTAGCTGCTGCTTCTGCTCTCACCGGAAGCCGGGTAAAATACCTGCCATGGACCTTGATGGCTAGACTGTTCCTGTACTCATGTAAAATCATTTAAGGTTAGTGTCAAGAAAGGTAAACACTTTAGAGCCACCTTGCTCCATTGTCCACACCCTCCCATTCCTGCAGCGAGATTTGCCCTCCATCAGATGATCGCTGTACTTGAAGAGAATTTCTGGCTCCAGAAATCCAAAACCAAAGTGCAACTGCATCTAAGACATAAAGGTTGCTGCGGTCCATCAAATAACATCCCAACTGACTTTAGCTACCATGGAGACTTCAGGAATTAGACTGCATTTCTCTAAATTCCACCTTCCTCTGAGCAGGAGCATTACCAGTAACAGCTGTGCCAAAACCAAAAACTGAAGTTACTGTCAGCGGCAGCTATAACATCACCTTTTGGGCATATAAAGGCACTCCCCTCAGCAATCAATGCAGAGCCACTACCTGCCAAATGAACACAAGCAAGAAACATGGATATCCTAATGTCTGTTGACTGCACTTCATCTGAAAGCTATCAAAAAGCCAAGTAACACTCTGACAGCAAATGCCTTCTTACCCGACACTGGAAGTCCGAGCCCTCTAATCCAAGACACCCCTTGGTGACTAAATGTCCACCGGACTCATCTTCTTCTATTATGGTGAAGCAGTAGCCATCAGTGCTGAGGATTGGAAAGAATGAATCAGGAAAAGGCTTTGAAGTGAAAAACGTGCTGCTGAATATAGTCTTAAACTTTGTTCCTTGCAAGGCAAATCTGCCATTAACAAACTGACGTACTAAGGGAGGCTGGAAGACATGCAGCCCAAGAGCCGACAGTGCTGCGGACCAGCTCTTGCACACACAAAGGAGTTCTGCCTTGGAGTTGACTGACTTACCTTTCCCACATTTCACAGCTCTAAACCCCACTAACAAACATCTCAATTCTCTGCCTATGGTCATTTTGTTGGCCAGTGTGTTAAGACTCTGGAGACCTATATAAATGCAAGCATCAACGCTACAGCAGGTCTGCCTTGTGCGTGGCAACAAGGCACGGATATTTGCATCACAGGGGAGACCTGGAGAAAGAAACATTTTTAAGATACTAAACATAAAATATTATAAAGAGTGATTTGTGATGCCTGTTTTAACCATATTGCAAACTGCAACACTCTTGTGTATGAGTCCTTGAGTTACCATCAACACCCTTCATAACTGTTTACTTGAGTTATAAGCCTGAAGTGATCCATAATGCTTCCGTTTACAAGAACGTGCACCAGGGAGGACAAGTATACTAACAGATGGCTAGATGGTGCTGGTGATAAATGTCCTTCCTCAATGAAGGTCAAATGCCTGAATCCTATGGAAAGAGGGGGAGGAGGGCACAAAAAGGATGGCTGCATTTTACTGAGACTGCTGTATATTAATTTCTCAGCACTCTGAGGGATAGACGTAATGTCTGTAAGAAACACAAATTGACTGATTTGCAGGAAGAGGATCCAAAAATAAAGAAAAAACTCTTTAATAGAAGACATTTAAGTCACATAAAAATAAAATATTCTGTTATTTCCCCAGGAAAATAACACTGGTTATTACGTGCAATGAGTATTTTTCAGAAGAGAAGAAACAAACTCAGTTAAAACAAGGAAATAAAAAGAAAAGAGGATTAGAAAATTTAAACGCAGCAAAATTTCAGAATATTTGCTCCTTACTTGAATGAAAGGAGAGTCTAATAGAGTAACAACAGCAAAGGCAATGAAGATGTAGGAAACGAGAGGCACAGTTACACATATAAGAGATAAACACAATTTGTAAGTATTAGCTACACGACAGAGAGATGCTGGATAGGATCATGTCAAACATTTGCTGTGGCATATTTTTATATTAGTGCTGAAGGGTCTAGCCACAGTAAGCTTATTACTTATAATAATAATCTATCATGGGTTATTTACTTCTGGATTTGAAAAGTAACCAGTTGCATGTTATAAATTACTTTCCTGGAGAAGCGAGCGATGACTTCTACCCTTCTTTGACATTGTGCATACGAGTAAGGCAAAGGAGACAGCAACCTTTCTGGGCAACGACCACCTTGATGTCATTGCCTAAGCTTAAAATATAGGAACAATAGGATTGCCAAGAAGAGAGACTGTGAGGAATCCATTAGAGTAGAATATTATATTAGATTAGATTTTATTTGTTTGCATGGTGCCTTTGATTCAAAGTAATGAGCAAGTTTAACCCAGGGGACAGAGCAACAAAACAATAAATTACAATCAAGTGAAACACAAAAATGAACTCCACAGCTAACAGTCCCCAGCAAAAAACAAAACACTCAGTTCACCGAAGGAAAGCAGGGGAAGGAGAAGGCAAATAGCCAAAGGGAAAAAAGAAGCAGGAAAGTCAGTACTTTGATTTCTTTTTTTTTCTGATGTGCCATGGGACTCTGATTCTTAGCTCATTTCTGAAAATTAAATTCAAGCTCCTCAAGCATTTTAGTCCGTCTGAAAATTTTACTACAAATTTAAAAAGACAAAGATTGGATAGAGCAAAACAGAAAAGTTACAAAGCTCCAACAAAAAGGATAAATCATATTCTTTATAGACAACAGTAGAGTAATTAAGGGAAAAGTGCGAGACAATTAAAAATAGCAATGTCGAGTAGAATAAACATTGGTACTGCTTGTTTCTACCTCTAAGAAAAAAATAAAAAGTTTTCATGCAAGGTAAGAACTCATTGAAAATTTCTCAGGTGTTTGGGCGAGAGGTAGAAGTGACTCTTCTAAGAAGAGTCTCTTACCTGCTTCCCCCCTCCCACCCCTGACCTCTTCTCCAGGTTCAGAGGATGTCAGACGGACCACACACCCTGCAAGCAAAGGGCAGGGCATACCCCTGAGGTTTTAGCCATCAGCCTACCCTCATACCTGCCTATGGCAGAAAAGAAACTGTTCTTACTATTATAACAAGTCAGAAACAAGTCAGGTAAGTCTGCATCGTCTCCAATTTTACGTTTATTTTGGCGTCTGCACAAATATAAACCTATGTACGTTGCTGATACATGCAAAGCAACACAAAAAACCTACTCTCCATTTCCTAGCAAAAATTTGTAGTATATAACTACTATTTTCTTAAACTCTGTAATTTGAATTCTGTGTAATTTGAATCTGCGAATGGTGTGTAAAGAAGGAACTCAATCTGATGTTATGGAATACATCCCGGTACACATCCACTAATCTCTTCCACTAAAGCATCGTCTTATTAGCATATTGTGCAGGAGAGCAATTAAATGCTTTTTGGATGTGATCACTAATAAGCACAGATTTGGTGTGTCACATATTTGCCAAGAGCGAATTTTTACAGCCAAGGCAAATGCCAGGAAAACAGAGGGAGCTAATGGTGGAAACACTGACAGACGCTGATGTAGAAGGTGCTGCTACAATTACAGATCACCAGAAAGAAAGAGGTGATCTTAACTGAGACCTTTACTCAATGTCAGAAGAGGAGCAGAGGCCAACAGCAGCTTTGCAGCTGCTCACACAGATGTCCTCGCTGGCCAAGAGCCATTTCTCACAGAAGATGTGATATCCCAGCTACCAAAACTTGACTGCTGAAGATTTCCTGTCCTGCTCTCTGTGCATGTGATGCAGCCAGGGATGGCAACATATAACTTGGAAAAGCAACGTCTTTCCCTCGTTCTGCGCCTATCACAAACAGACGGGTTAAAAAACTTGATGAAAAGATTCCTTAGCTTTAATTTTATTTGCAATTGAGTCCATACAAGTATTACTATTTTTGTCCACTCCTCCTCTTTGTACTCCTGGTTTTGAAATCAGAAAGAGCTACAGCACCTTTCCATTTCCAGCCAAAGCAACATGACAAGTTTCTGCATTGTTTCAAAAAATGATCAAAAATATTAGGTGATATTATGTACAGAAACTGGGAAGTTCATATTCTCCTGTAAAGACTGGCTGAAATAATCTAATTCAAAAACTGGCTGACTCCCAGTTTGCATCTAATTCACCTATTTTGTTGCATCCTTCACTTAAGAAAGATAATGAAGGCCAATTTAGCAAAACATTGTCTTTGGACACCATCCATAAAATAAAGAGTCACTGTAAATGTGTTCAACACAGGCTAATTTTTCAGAAAAAATAATATAGTTAGCAGCTGTGCACCAGGGAAGTAACGTGAAACCAAGTGAGAAAGAGCATTACACAGTTGTCGAGCCAGATGCACCTTCAGATGTTTGCACAGCTACTCTGAAGGCAAGGAGAGACACACAGGTGTAATAAAGCAAAGAAGGTGGCTCACAGCATCTGGCCACACTGGTCTCCAAGATGGTGATGCTAGTCCTACCACACACCCTCTGCTGTCTATGGTACCTTTTGGCTCTCTGGTTACTCAGTGATAACTCTACACATAGAGAGAAGGAGGGTACCCAACGTGTCCCAGCAGAGCATCTTTTCGTACATCATATATAGGTCTACCGATCAATATTTTCTCTATACTACCTGCCCATACTATTCTCCCAGACATAGACATGACTTGGCCCAACAAATGTGTCTTGCTCTACTAAATCAAAAATCAGATCAAACAGTTCTCCCTGACACATAGGGTCACAACGCAGAAAACAAGTCATTATGCCGATCTGTGAGGGAGAGCCCTAGAAACTGTCCAGGCTTCATACTGAGTACCTGAGATTTGATGGGTCTATAGACTTGATAGCACAAGCTGGGTTATGGTAATAGCACAAAGCACGGGTACCTCTGCATTTTCACCAGGGCTCTCTAGGACCTTTCACTTACGTCTAAGATCCTTTTCAGTAGATGTGAGAACTACCAAGAAGCAAATAGTCAAAATAAAGCTACTCATCTTCCTCTTTTCCTTTTATTCCTTTCTTTTGTGTCCAAAATTTAAACACAGACCAAACGTTTTCTTTTACTTGACCTGAAGACTACACTGCAGTTGAATTTATACGGTGTATCTTCTTCATTAACACTAGGACAGATTTAACATGGATATTTGCTGTTTCGGAATTGTTTTTGGTATAAGTAAATTCAATACGCAAGGGAAGCCCTTAGGTGTTCCAGCACTTGCTGCACAGTAACACCAAAGTACTCCCACATGCTAAAACACCATCCCAGAGTAATGCAACAGGTCTCAATACAGGGAGACTGGACTTGCGTTACTATTTAGCTTAAGGTTTCTATTAAATACCTAACGGAGAAGCCCTGAACAGAACTAAGGAATTTGTGGGGCACAGTTGAAAAGCATGGGAGGGGGACTTTGCGTTTTAGTTTAAGCACTTGGGGTGAAGTCACCTGCTGAGCCACGTATAAGACACACGGCCCTGGCAGAGCGGGCAAGGAAAGACTGGAGCTTGTAAGAATTTGTCTCTGTTGACTTTTGGGTTTTTGTTTTAATCATCAAAGGGGACTTATCTGCCTCTTGTACAGCCCTGTGTACAGGATTACATTAAAAAGTAAAAATAAACATAAAAAAAATCAAAAGGCTAACTTGTAAGATCTCACCATAGCTCCTTTATCAGAAAATGTTCAACTTTACCCTAAAAATTAACGCTGCTTAAAACAAAAATTGCCTGAACTGAGTGCTTTGGCCCACTGCTAAAATCTTCTTCCTTCTACCTTCCAAATTACAAAGAAAACTCAATCCTATCATCTGGAGAACAGAAGAATGAAAATAACATCGCCCAAGTGAATTATCACCTCTGGTAACACTGAAAAAGCAACTTAATTATTTTATTGCTTCAGATAATCACAGCTACCTCAAGACACAGCTGGGCAGAAACACAATCAAGACCAGTAGGCAACACATAAGAAATTAAAGTCTATCAGCCTGATCTTTAGAACTGTCAGCATTTATTTGTGAATGGAAAACAGAGTACAACAAGGCACCTAATCAGCCTCTGCCTTTACTGCAATCCCATTACAGTCAAACCCAATTACATCTAACACTACTTTTTAAAATATGCAATTAATTATGATTAGACACAACTGCCCGTGCATTCACTTTGTACACACAAAACTTGAGCAGTAAAACAAGGTCCCGGTTGTGTTCAAAGCAGCTTTGAGCTCCTTTACTGAAAGCCTTTTATGAATCGCACAGACGTTCAGAAAGAAGAATAAAGTTTCAACACGCTGCAGGTTAACACACCCCTTACAAGCAGAGGATTGGGAACCTTCTGCAAAGATCTTAATTGTCAGGGCCCTGAGCGCACTAATGAGCTTCAATAGCCCAGAGTGGCCCCA